TGGAAAAAAATCATGCCAGATAGTCTCAATATTATCCAAATTAGATACTATAAGTAAGAACAATTAGACCTCATACTGGATGAGGAAAGTTCAGGGAAGCTGCTGAAACAAAGTGGAATGTGCCCATCGTGACTTGGTTCACAACGTTTTCAGAATTCAAGTAGGAAAAAAAGAATGAGTTACACATAAGAGCCATGTGGGAGGCAAGTCGGCTGTGATGAAGTGGACGAAGAGGCCTTGAGTGAGCTGCTGGACAATCTTAAGGAGTTGTCCAAGGTGGTATGTTATTTGAGCCCCAGTGCCAAGGGAAAGTAAAGACCAGAGAGTGCTAACAGACAGACCAATCGCAACGTTATATTCTGGCTAACTTTGAGGATAATGATTCAAGTTTTGAAGGAGGCACTAAGATGGCCAGTTACTTCATCTGGGAAAACCTGCACTCAAAAATCTACTGTGAGAAGGCAGAACATGGTAAACTCCCTCAGGGATGGCTCAGGAAACTTTCTGTGCTGTCCAGTATGGCAGCCACTAGCCACAGTTAGCTATCTATCGAGCACTTGAAATGTGGCTAGTGTGACTGAGGAACTGAAGTTTTAATTTTATTTAACTTCAATTATTTGTTAATTTAAACTGACACATATGACTGGTGACTACCATACCGAATTTCGCAGTTCTAGATTTAAACACACACACACACACACACACACACACACACACACACACACACACACACGCATGAAAAGCCTGAGGAAGATGATTTGTAGCCATCTACCCCCTAGTGGTCTGGAGAATGGTTCTATCAACTCCAACAGGATCCTCACCTAATACAGACCACCCTCCTAGTGATGTGATTGCTTTTCTCTTTTTCCTTCTCTCTCTCTATTCCTCCCTCCCTCCCTTTTCACGTTCTCTACTTTCTTTTCCTCCTTCATTAAACACTATAATGCCTCCGGTTCAACTCCACTCTCATAATCCACAACTCCTACACGTTTGCACATGTAATCAAGGTGTCTTTATTTCTTTTTTATGGACCATATTATATTCTTCTCTAAGTGTTAATATTACATTTATACATATAACATTCATCTATGCTATTTGGGAGTGTTTACCATTATTTTTTATAGTGACACTTGCTTTGACTCATTTAGAGCTGTTTTAAGCACTGGTTTCCAGAATTACAACCACCTGAGAAAACAAGGACTTCTATTTGGATCTTTTTTATTCAAACAAATGTTTTCTTGCTTCACATATTATATGATTTATTCTTTTGTTTTTATACTTTTTCTTGATGTTTGTTTTATAAATTTGTGTTTTTGGACAAGCTGAATGTCAACTCTGCTCAGTTTTAATTTATATATTCTGCAAGTAGATCACCAATATGAATAATTCATCTATACATCATTTTGCCAATTGATGGGGACAGAAAAAGCAATAAAAACTTACATACATTTATTTGTACTTATTCTTTGTTACAAGCATTATCCTTTCCATACTATTATCAAATATTTAAAGCATGGCTATATTCTGCAAAATAACTTCACATTTATTATTTTCTATTCTATCACAGAATTATCTTATCTCTAACTGAATAAAAATAGAGAAAAAGAAATAGGAGCAAGGTGAAAACAGGACGAAAACAGGCAAGAAGTTCTGGAATTTCTCTAAAGAAAGCAAGAACCAGTAGTTATGTGGAGAAAATTCAGGTCTGGGGTGAGAAACAGGTGGTGAGTGTATCCGATGGAGTAGGCACTCAAGAGCAGGGGCGCTGGGAAGTGACATGGGTCTGAGCAAGGCTTCAGGAGTCCAAGAAGGTTCTAGAAAGGCAGAGGTGGGCAGACAGCAGAAAATGTCAATGGAGGGTCTTAGGAACACAGAGAAGGTAGTATGACAGGGAGTTGTCTGGCCCCAAGAGAGTCACTGATGATGCTACCTGCAGCTGCTAATCTGCATAATGTTTTAATTTATCCCTGAAATAATTTAAAGAAGAAAAAAATTTACCCGTGATATCCTGAATACCGTGGACCACGGATATGGCCTATTCCTCGGCACCCTGGAGTAGGACAAACAGCTTGACCTAGAAGGATTTTCATATCATTTGCTCCTTCAGGAAGTAAAAGAACATACCTTGAAAACACTCTTAGTAAAGAAGAATTAGAAAGACTAAAATATGTGAATAATGCTCATTGAGACTTTACAAA